TAATTGAGATAAATTTTAGGCACTTTATACAATGATGCTGGTAAAAAAGATTAAGCTTTAAGTGATTACAATAAAGCAATCCAACTTGATCATAAATTTGCATTTGCCTATAATAATAGAAGTGAATTATTTAAACTAATATTAGGCAATTTTATACATAGGAATTGGTGAAAAAGATAAAGCATAAAACTATTACTTATAAGGATTAACTGCTTCACCATACAGAAGATTGAGCTACTTAAAGAATAAGATTAAAAAATAACTGAAAATAAATAAAAACTTTTTAAATTTCTAACTTAAACAGGATAATAAAAGCAAAATTATATTTAGCAAGAATAAGAATTATAAAACATATAAAAGTCTATACCTAAAATCTTATCAAACCCCTATTAAATAATACTTAGATTCAAAAAGAATTTATGGATTTTTATCAGATCAATCTATTTTGATCACATAATCTTAACCATTAGCAGAAACTGAATAAAATTCACCAATTATATCCCATCAGCTAATTAATTATTAAATCAAGGAGAATTTTCGATTGAAAATTTGTGCCAAGAAATTCAAGTTTTTAATTTAGGAGAAGTTGAATAAACATACAGTTTTCTAAGTAGCTTCTTGTAATTAGATGAAGTTTGGGGAATTTGTATTCTGATATTATACTAAAATCCTATCCATTACAGGCGTTCCAATTGTTATTTTTATGAATTTGGGAATCCAAAATTCTCTTCGATTTCAATAATCTAATTTAATCATTCATTTGTATCACTCAAACCTAAAGAATTACCATAAATATATTAGAATTGCATTCGAATCATACTTCACTATAGTGTATAATTAAAAAGCAACTAGAATCTGATATATATTTATGTTCATCTATTTATACTTGTACGATTATTCATAGCAAACCAAAACTATTTTAGAATAATTATTTTATTTACTTTTAGATTTATTGCACTAATCTTTGATTACTCTGAAAATAATCGTCATCATTAGAAGTGCATATTGAAATACTAACTTAAAATTTCTAAAAGCCTTAAAGGAATACAGTTCCTGAAGAGTAATCATAGCTTGAGGCTTGCAAAAATGGATGAAATTCATAAAATCTAGCAAAACTGAACAAGAAAGTAATACAAAATTTTATATTAATACAGGCCATACAATTTATGAATTAAAATAGTTTATTTACTCTCTCTAAGGTACTTTTGAATATATAAGTAATGATGAATTATTGAAAAGTAAATCTGTTGAAGCATTATGTACATTTGTTGGTACCCTTTATATAATATAACAATTTATTTAGTTTTGATTGTAAATACAATAATGCTTAAATAGAAATTCTACCAATGGATATCCATCAGTTTAAATTTTTAGATTTGCTTTTATTAATAGATCAATACTTTATTTACCTTTCTTTTCATCTTTATTCAACAATTAAGTTTTCTTCATCCATTCATAAACATGTTACATTAGAATTTGGATATTTCCCTGATAATAGATTAAAATTTTAATTATAACTTTAAATTCTTCAGTATTTTAAAGACATAATATATGATTGTTCGGGCTAAGAATAATTTAATTTATGGTAAGATAAATGGTTCATTTCTTTATGATTCTCTATATATATTAAGTCTTAATCAGTATAAATAACTATTAGATCATCATTATATTAAATATTTTTACTTAACCTTCTACATAATCAATCAATTTTGGGGTCATATTCAATACGCCATATAGACTTTTTATTGCTTATTATTTATCATTTTCACTTAAAGCTTAAACCAAACTGAATTGAAAATCAATAAAAATAATATATTTTTTAGAAGTTGTAGCTTTTAAAACTTTTCCTTATTGATTCCATTTAATATCTTCTATCAATTCACAAGTTTTTTTATTTTAATCAATAAAAATAGTTCTTCATAATTTACTTCTCATTTATTTACCATAAACTTATATTACAGTATAAAATTGAATAAATTAATTAACTAAGATTTAATAAATATTTATTAATAATGTCATCATTGATCATTGTCAATAAAAATACTAAAATATTCATTAGAATTAGAATTTTGAAATAAAATAGGTGTGTTTCCATCTAATGAAGTAGTAGTTATTTTTTAATCATCAAGAGCCCAGCATAATGCAGTAATTTATAATTTATTTCCTTAATTGGCTTGATATGTAGACACCATTAAATTAGAATATAACCAATTAATCATAGATTATTGCTAAATATAGTCCAGATGGAGATCATGCTAATTGAGAAATCATTCTTTTACCATTTTTCCAAATTAAATATCATTTCATAGTAATCAATCTACTTCTTCATCACTTCCTAATAATTTTTTTAAAGATAATCTCAACGATTTAAATCTAGTTGTAGCCTCTATGATACTTGTGTATTTGATAGGTTAATATTCTAAAATAATTTTTTATTTTACAAAAATTACTGTTAAAGCTTAAAGCGTATCAGAAAGTAATAATGTTTTAAGAGAGGTTAAGTAGTTTATGATTTTTCTCTAGAACCATAATAATGAAAATATTTAAGCAAAAATTAAA